AGAGAGAGAGAGAGAGAGAGAGAGAGAGAGAGAGAGAGAGAGAGAGGGAGAAACGTGAGGGAAATGAGTTGTTTATTGATAACTACCTTCATGTAAGTTACATCGGCCATGATGATTAGAATAGGAGACAGGTCAAAGGTTAAGGAATACCAAAATCATGAGTGATTTTTTTTTAATTAGAAAAATTGTTACTACGCATTCAAACCATTGGTTTACGCTATGACTTTGCTAATATTCAGGCGTTGATCACGAATATGATATTAGACTTTTCATCGGAACCTAAACTCAGAAACATTTTTAGCTCTGCCTGGGTTATTTCTTATGAGTCACCACACCACCTGTTTTGGTGGACACAACCAAATGGAGTTTTGACCGATTGCTATAGCAAAAACTGGTTCTCCATTTCAACTACCGACTTCCCAAAAGACGGACGGACGACTTTTGGACAGGAGGTTTCTGATTTGGTGGACACGCGGGCTAAGGCGTCGGTAATTTAGTTCTTAGGCTACAAAACTTATAAATGTGAGATTGCGGTTTCTGAGGGTTCGAGCGTTGTGTCCTTGGAAAAGGCACTTAACACAAATGTCCTTGTTTGATTCGGTCCTTTCGGAGATGGACGTTAGATTCGAGGGTACCGCCTTATAAAACGTACTTTCCAGTGCTGCAAGGACGTTGAACCTATACGATCTCATTTTCAGAGAGGCTAAGATCACTATTTGTTGTTCATTCCAAAGAAACGGAAATTATACTTTTACATCTTACTACATCGATGATAGACACTTAAGTCAATGTCTTGTACTGAGTCAAAAGAAGTATAAATAAATACAAGCTGTTTCCTGATTCCAAAACAAATCGAAATGTCAAAACCAAAATGTTCCCTTCGCTCTGTTCTTACCAGACATGCAGATTTTCGTCTAAAAGGAAAATGCAGGTGTTCTGTGAGTCTTGAACCCATACGTAAGAACACTTCAAGAATTGTATCCATCCTTTCCATCTGACAACGATTCAACTACGATGCAGTTGGTCTATTACTCCCATTATCGTTTTCAGCCCAACATGATACCAATCTATTTGTCTTTGAGAGTATGGAGCTGAAGCTACGTGGTGGAAGTACATTAACATCTCTCCACATAGTACACTAACATCTCTCCACACAGTACACTAACATCCCTCCACACAGTACACTAACATCTCTCCACACAGTACACTAACATCTCTCCACACAGTACACTAACATCCCTCCACACAGTACACTAACATCTCTCCACACAGTACACTAACATCCCTCCACACAGTACACTAACATCTCTCCACACAGTACACTAACATCTCTCCACACAGTACACTAACATCCCTCCACACAGTACACTAACATCCCTCCACACAGTACACTAACATCTCTCCACACAGTACACTAACATCCCTCCACACAGTACACTAACATCTCTCCAAAACTACAACAAAAAACTTGAAAATCAAACTACTGTTTCTCGTACAGAAGAGTAAAAAGCCCAAGGGTTATAGAAGTAAATAAAGGCGAGAAAATGGCGTAAATACTCGTGACGTCAAGTGTAGCTGTACAACTTACTTCTTGTGTCAATGTCGTCTCGGACGTCCTCTAGAGGGACGTATGTATCACTCACGGGCCGCTCGTCTGGGTTGGGGATAAAGACAAGATGGATTTTGAAAGAACATATCTATCTATCTATCTATCTATCTATCTATCTATCTATCTATCTATCTATCTAT